TAAGAGATATTTGTCTTCCTCTCTATTGATAACAAAATTCTTTTTTTTCTCATACCTGCCTTCTTGTTTGTCGACCTATGTGTATATAAAGTGGAAACACAAATGTAGAACCATACTATTTATACAGTTGATTGTATTAACCGACCACTCTCTCTCCCTTTTTGAACGTCGTACAGCCACTGTGGACAATGGAAGCGATCAACCAATTGATTTGTTTAATCGGTTTAGTGTTGGTGATGGCAACTTGCATGACAGGAACCGTCGTGATTCAAGATGGAATGGATGAGCCCTCAGAACATTTAACCAAGAAACTTCAGACTACTGATTGTGTTACTAGTACTATTCGTAAGCACGCCTGTCATGCTGGCATTTGTCATAATAGTACAACCTATATTCATGGTTGTGATACTTATCAAGATGATCAATGTGATAATCTTACTGTTCATTTTGATATTTACAATTCTACTAGTTGGCGTAATACAACTTGTCATCTTTATGCTTGTTACGAGGAGGTGACAGAAAATTGTGGGACTGCCTATTTGATTTTTAAATCTTGTAGTAATGGTGATTGTCGGAATGGTGTTACTCATATTCATGCTTGTTATAGTTCTTCTTATCCAATGAACCAACGTACTGGTGCATCTGCTCTCTCTGGTCTTGATGTTGAGAATGGTGTTGATGATATTTTTGATATTCCTTGTGTTAATCTTCTTTTTTATACTTATCGTCGTACTCGTTTTGGCAGTGGCAAATAAGGTAGGTATTTTTTCTTTAGATATCCTTTTGATCTTGACTCATCAACAGAATTTCGCTGATGTTTTACTGCATCATTCGTACGTTCTTCTTTGTGATGATCATTTAGAGTACTTTATGATTATCGCGGAATTGACAATGTTTTTCTTTACAGGATATATGGAACACACACACATACCTACACCGCAAGTGCAACATTCTCATCATCTTATCACTGCTATTAAACATTATTTTCTAATTAATTTTCTTTTTCTTATATTATTAATTATTTTTCGAGATGATGTGAAGTTTCTGTTCGCATGAATTTTAACTAAACTAATTCGAACGTATTGAACTTTTACGTCGCTTATTACATCATTTTTTTCTGTTTAATAAGTTACATGGATTTGTCGTAACGATTATTTCTTTCTAGTATTGATAAGGTTTGATCGAATTCGAACAATGCAGGAAAAGCGGAATATTAAGCCGATATTACACAGGTACATTGCGCAGTTAGATGATGTTATCAGCATAGAGAGGATTACAATGATTTTTTGCTACACTTCAACAAAACTTTAATAATTTATAAACAACATGGCACTGAACTGAAGATTACAAATGCCCATTCGATTATCGCATTTGTACACGGACTTAAGAAGGACTATGATTTAAGTATAGACCATTGTAAGGAAGCTTTGGCTATAGAAGAGAAATTGGATAATAAAGCTGAAGTTGCTGATCAACACAACAGTATCGGATGGTATTATTGTACGGAAGGTAGTTTTGATTTGTCTATAAAACATTGTAGCGTATCGATGAAGATATTTAAAGAACGTTTATTAGTTGAGGA